AAACAGACGAACTTTGAGTATTCAGTCAAGAAATGTCAAACCGGGGAAACAGTAATCAAAGCAAGGGATGATGATGAAAATTAAGCAAGGAAGGTAGCACGGTAAAAATTACAAAAAAATGCGTGGGAAAAGCAAAATTTTCCATTTATTTTGCGGGATACAGTTTTTGGCTAGCTTAACAAAATCCTGATAATATCAATTTACTTTGCCAGTTATAAATGAATAGACCCCTTTTCATCAATTTATTCTTGTAGTTTGCATAGTAAAATGGATCGACACCAGTAGGCAAAGTGCTGGATAAATCTCACCCTGTCCATAAATGTTCGCCAATATCGACCCGGGCATCCTAGTGCAACTCAACTAAGTAAGCTAGTTACACAGGGCAATTTCCATAAACAAAATGACATCGACTGATTTTGCTGAAACAAGTGGCCATGCATAATTAGACTGATGTCTGATTTTTAGTCCACTTAAATGTCCGTGACCATTGACCAGAACAGATAACGCAAAGCAAAGGCACACGTGATCAAACATGCTAAATATGAAACGGCGACATCTGGCTCTTTCAATTTCGTTAGCCAGCTCTACCCCATCCCGATCCGGAATATACGAATTCACGAATTCTGTACACAATTCATGGGTTGAAAAAGCCTATATTCAGTCTATAATTCATAGGTCAGAGTCTGCAACCCTGTTGATTACTGATTTAATAGAAGTGACTTGGTTGGGAACCTAGGCCTGTTCACTCTTATTCTGCATCATCGTGGGTGCTTGGAATTCCATCCCTGCCGTCAATAACTAATGTTGCCTTACATCTATAACTTCCCAGCAGTTCATATCATCAATAAAAAGGCAAACGGAGTCCTAACAAGAGGAGGAAGGTAAACGTTTCGTGTTCTTTTACCTACTGAGATACTCTAGTATCAGTGTATTGAGTTTTACCTACAACATCAGGAAGTTTATAGACGCACGTACGGAGTAAGGACAAAGAAAAGCTGTTTCATTTACCGAATCCACGCCATTGGCTGAACCATATGGTAGGCTTTTTCACAGTGGAACTGACTTAGACGAATAAAACCCAGTCATATGCATCCTGAACGTCCGCCAACAGTCAAAGTAGGAAACCGTCGGTCATATTCCAAGTGCAACAGTCTCAGGCTGCTGCAAAGAGTGTACTTTACGGATAACATAAGTTTCAGTGCACTCTTTGCCGACATTTTGGCTGGTGTCATCTTCATCTGTGTGTTTCGAAATACTAATATTTATGTACTTTTACATAAACATTTCGTGACGACTTCAACAACTTAATCCTTATTAACTCTCAAAAAACGTTGCTCTTCATCCGAGAAAAAAGTTGAGGAAGTTAACTATGGTTTTTTCTATGTGCTTTTAACAGACGCACGTGACACTAGTCGACGCAAATTCTCTGCACTACTTGTAGCCTAACTGTTGGCATTGTCTCCTTTATGTACAACAAAACGAATTCGAACATTAACTTTTTTTGAAACCGGATCCACTAATTACAGTAAAGCACGAAATGCGCAAACAACCAAAGCCACTACATGCGCGTTAACTTGTAACAGATTCAGTGGAGCGAGACCAGCCTTGAAAGGCGGGAGTCACATCATTATTACACTGTTTCTTAGTGTGTGCAGATTCAGGCAAAACCTACTTTAGCTAGTTAACAAAAATGAGGTGCAGCTCAAAGGAAATAAAAACAGGCATTATGAAAGTCAAAAAGAAAAGTGGTTAATTCACAGATTAGTGTCGGCTGTGTGGCTGAGGAACAAAGCCACTTTCTAAAGGTGTGCTTTGCAAGGCTAAACAAGAAACTGCCATAGTTCGGTCGAGTGAAGGCGCATTAAGACCATAACGCAAATACATGCGACTACAATCTATGGCCTGTTCCCCACCGACGACTGCACGCCCAACACCATGGCCGACGTAAACATGCAACGGAGCATGGACCTCTTTGTCGCAGGATTGGCCAATTTTGGCCTCACGATAAACACGGACAAAATGGTCATGTACCACTCGTCACCGAGTGCTGAATACAACCCTCCTCCGATAAATGCCAAAAGCAACCAACTTCAGACCGCGGAAAAATTCGCCTATCTCACGAGCGCACTCTCGCACAACATGAACCTCCGTGATGAAGTTGCCCGTCGACTCTCCTAAGCCAGACAGACCTTTGGGCGGAAGCAAGCCTCCGTGTGGAATCCTCGCAAAATTCAACTGGACACGAAACCAAAGATTTACAGGGCCGCCGTCTTGTCTACACCTGTACGGAGCGGGGACCTGGGCAGTCAACGCACACCGTGTCAGGAAGCCCAACCACGTCCATCTCCGCAACCATCGTAGAATTCTTAAACCGAGATGCCGCGACAGGATCCCGGGCACGGAAGTCCTCGAACGGACAGGAATCCTCATTATCCACGTCATGGTGAGGCAACTGTCACTTCGATGGAGGCGACATCTGGTGAGAGTGGATGACGCACCTCTTCCAAAATAACTCTCCTACGGAGATGTTACCACGGGTGCTCGCTGACCGAGAGGATCAAAACGACACCACAAGAGCAGATCAACTGCAAATCAAACCGGAAACAAGGGACGACATCGCACAGAATAGACCGACCTGCATAAGGGAAGTGAAAACTAGCGCAGCCATTTACAAAGCAAACTGAATCTCACCGCCAAAGCCAAAAGGGATGCTCGAAGTCATAAGTGCTTCGACCCCTCAATGTCGGCACCTAGCCCATTCTTTGGTTTGCTGAATGAGACTAGTCGTTGAAAAATTGAAAATGCTCAAAGACGTTTTTCTAAAAAAAACTTTTAGATAGGGAACATCCAAATATCCCCTACACAGATAGATGCCAGCTAATTAACCAAAAATGTTTATGGGTTCGAAGACTAGAAGCAGGCTTCTGTCTCCTCTTTCGCATTACTAATAGTTCAAATCTTCCTCGGATTTCGGCACTAACCCCTAGTAGGCGCCCATACAACCTTCGCAACTCGTCCTTGATTATACCTCCACCAGCTGCCTCCACCTCTAAGCGCTCTCTTTTTTCGCCTGCACACATACTTTCCTTTGGAATTACCTTCCAATTAATATAAGATCTTCAAATAATCTACACACCTTTAAGAGAAGATTACGCCTTTATATGAATACTGACTCGATTAAACTTTTATTTTCCTCATCCTTCACGGACAAGTTTCTCTATGACACTGAGAAAGGACCACCAGAAATTTAGTATGCCGCCATTAACTTTCCGTACCTGGTCAGATTTCCTCCCTTGGTGAGTCGTATCGCTTCCTATGATCCCTCACCAGAAATGTTAATTTTTCCAATTTTTTAGTTCATGTATCGTGCCCCCACAGAATGCACTCCATCGACGCTCTTGGCGAAACTTTCTGTGTTCGCCATGTGCCAGAAATTTGGTCGCATCTCCCTGCTCCATCCTCGGATGGACTCGGATGTGTGTAATCGACCGCATCTGGATTCCTACCGCCTCGAGACTGCTGTTGGGAACGCTAAGGACAGATGCGTCAATCCCAGACTATGAATATCAGAATAAGACTAGAGTTATGAAAGAATTAATAATCAAATGTCAAACGACCTGACAATCCAACTCATGCCAAGCGCGTCGCGTCGAGTTGTGTTCCTTCCATTCAGTTATACAACCTGTAAGTTCAAGAATGATGAATAGGTAGGGAAAGGCAAGATAGTCTTGCGAGTCGGCACAGTACCCCCCTCCGAGACCGGGGGCGGCAAAAACGACGCCGAAGTTTGTGTGCATGTCTAAAAGACATCAGTGATCAACCGATCAGGAGAGTGTACATGACGACCACTGCGAGTGATATATACGGGGTCCCTAGAGGAGTGAACACATCTGATGGAGGAAGTGTTGGTGTTGGTGGTGGCAGTCAGAGGTAGCGGACAGGAGGGCAGGGGGGAAATACGAGACGGTGGAATAGAGGCTGCATGGGGGGAAGCAGAAAGTAGAGGGCCACAGGGCTCATCCGGAGGAGTGCCAGGGACGGCAGCCTTGAGGCGAACCACACTCACGACATCTTCACTATTGCCGCGCTGAATGCGGGATGTTTTCGGCCCGCGAGAGAGCACCCGAAATGGGCCGTCATAGGGCGGTTCCAGAGGCCGGCGGACTCGGTTACATCGAAGGTGGACGTGACAGCCCGTTGCTAAGTCCTTCTCGAGATAGGACGGAGAGAGGGAGGACTAAAGAGAAACCGGAGAAAGTGTCCGCATAAACTGCCGGAGGCGATGCAGGAGGTTGGTGGGATCCTCAACCGCACCTTGTGGGGTTGGCGAGATCATCTTACCGGGGAGTCGGACGGTGGCGCCGAATACCAGTTCAGCTGCGGAACAACCGAGGTCCGGCTTCAGAGCGGAGCGGATGCCCAAGAGGACCGGTGGAAGGTGGTCCGTCCAGTTCTCCGGATCGGCCGCGGCGCGTAGGGAGGCCTTCAGCTGGCGGTAAAACCGTTCGAACATCCCGATAGCAGTCGGGTATAGGCTGTCGTCCGGATGCGGGTACAGTCTAAAAAGGAGAGTAAAGACTGGAAGAGGTTAGACTCAAACTGGGCACCACGGTCGTGATTGTGGAGGGTGCACAAAAGATAGCAACCCAACGACTGAGATAAGCCTTGACCACCGTTGGAGCAGCAATATCAGCCAGGGGAATTGCTTTAGACCACCGAGTGAACCGATCCACACAGGTGAGGAGATAGGAACAACCAATTGACAGAGGCAAGGGGCCTACAATGTCCAGGTGAACGTGGCTGAGCCTTGCATCAGAACCGGGGAAGGTGCCAATGGGGGCCTTGTTGTGCCGCTGGATCTTACTCCGTTGACAGGGGATACAAGCCCGTGTCCATGCTTTGAGGTCTTTTGTGCATCCCAGGCCAGACGAAGCGGTCGGAAACCAGCTTGTCGGTTGCTCGACTCCCAGGGTGAGAAAGATTTGAAGGGAGGAGAACACTTAACGGCGGAGGGATGGTGGCACAAATGGGTGATGGGATGGGGTGGATATGTCGCATAAAATGGTGCCGTTGCCAGTTGTCAGTGGCAGTTCCTGAAGTTGGAGTCCGGAAACATCCTCATCACAGGGTGAACCGACACGACGCTGTTCAACGGCCATCTCAGCGAGGTCTATCCTGGGAGAAAGCTAAAAATGGGCAATAGCGGGCCTGCAGCGGGCGTCAGCCACCTCATTCCGGGACCCGTCAATATGGCGGATGTCTGAAGTGAACTGCGAAATGTTATCCAGGTGACGGATCTCCTGGGGACTTAGCTTGTCAGAGTGGGAATACATTGCAAACGTGAGTGGCTTATGCTCTGTGAAAATTGTGAACTCTCGACCTTCGAGTAAATGCCGGAAGTGCCTTACGGCAAGATAAGCGGCGAGGAGTTCACGTCGGAATGAGCTGTAGCGGGTTTCGGCCTTGGATAGTTTCTTGGAGAAGAAAGCCAAAGGCACGGTAGAAACTGGCAGACTTTTTTGAAGAACCGCGCCAACAGCAACATTGGAGGCATCGACCATCAGAGATATGGGTGCATCGGCATAAAAGTGAGTCAGGACGGTGGCATCAACCAAAAGGGCTTTTACCTGCTCAAATGACGTGAGTGCTGCTGGTGTAAGTTCAATGGTGCGCTTAGAACCTGGGAGGAGACTGGTAAGAGGTAGGATGGTGTCGGCACAGTTCGGGAGAAACCGGTGATAAAAGTTCACCATAACAAGGAACCGTTGAAACTGACGCTTTGAGGTAGGGGATGGTTTAAAATTTCGCCATTTATTTGCCTTATTCAAGGCCACATACAGGCCAGTCCTGACTGACCCGCCTACGTACCCTTTCATGAAATCCGTTAGACAATGTCATCTACAGCTGACATTTATTTCTGCCCTGTCGATGTCCGATTATAATCCATTATATACCGCCACATGCAGGCCAGTCCAGTCGACAAGTATTCTCCGCTATGGTTACGGAACTCGCAGAGGTATAAGCTATGATGTTTCCTACACATTACCAACAGGATTCCATTGAAGACCCATGCACATGCAAATCGTACTTTAGTCTACGGGGCTTAAAGTTCTTCAAGCAAAACTTAAAATGTCACTTAAGGGACAGTCAAACGTTTTCGCGCTCTCCCGCTGCTACTTGTTCTGTTGATCCCTCATTTTATAATTTGAACGTCTATTCTGTCTCTATGATTCTTCAGAAGCACCCCGTTATCGTTTCGCAGGTCACCTCGCCAAAAACGTCCATTCAGACGCGCTTTAAATATTCGAATTTTAACGAGATTGTATGTCTGTAAAGATTTCAAATACAATTAAAAATCACTCCTGGTTCAGTGAACTTTAAAGTAAACGAAATGTTGCATTGGCGAATTCAAGGTATCGACGATATTTTACTGCACTAGAATTCACGCCGGAGCAGACAATGAGGTTCGCTAACCTCTACGGGTTATTGCGGGTTTCGCGAGCTACATTCAGTGCGATCGTTTGCCCTTTCGGCGAGTTGTCGACGGAACAGGGCACTCCTCTTTCATATTGCTTTCTCTCCTTTTCTCGAAAAATGACAGGAAAAATTCCGGACGACGAATGGAAGACTAAATTATCACCTGAAGCTTACTACGTGACCCGACAAAAAGGCACGGAAGCGGTATCTTGCCCTGTAATATAACGTTCTCAGCCTTTCACGGGAAAATATAACAAACATTTCGAGAATGGAAACTACAATTGCGTTTGCTGTGGTGCATTGCTTTTCGAGTCAGTTACCATTTCGTAAATATTTCGTTAATATTTTTACATTTCTTACCGTTGTTGGGCTGCGTTTTGCGGGCGGGTTTTCCTTATATTTAGTATATCCTTGAAAGTAATATATAATGCTAGCGAGAACCATTTCCTTATATATTGACAGGTTAAAAGCCCTCCGATCGTCGTTACGGGACTCACTCGTTCCGTTGTGTCTTATAAGACACATATATGGGCCCTCTCTCAAGACCAACCAACAGCCGCACAGCGGCGCATGATATAGGCAGAATGATGTTACCGACAAAGACAAGGGAGACCGGAATGGCCATTTCTGGCTTATTAGCCGTTGTCAGTCAGTCATACCCAACCCCGAAGTGTGGAACACCTGGGGCTCGATTCCGTGACCTGTTGGTTAGAAGTCCAACGTCTCTAGCCACTGCTGCGGCAGCTGGTTAGGCTCGAGAGGGAGAGAATCCTAAGGCACAACGGGACGAGTGAGTTCCGTAAAAACGACCGGTGAGCGCCACTCTACCATTGTATATTCCCGATCGCAACCGACAGGACAAGGAGCCAGTGGTTAGAGGCGTTGAACTTCTAACCGACAGGTCGGGGAATCGAGCCCCAGGTGTTCCACACTTCGTGGTTGGGTATGACTGAATGACGACGACTAATAAGCCAGAAATGTCCACTCCAGTCTACCTTGTCCTTGTCGGCAATACCGCACTTTAATTCGTCTAAATAGGGTCAGCGTTTTTGAATGCTCGATCGCTTTGTCGCCTAACATAGACATAAGGGACAACGAGGGGTGTCGTAAACCTTATCAAAGTGGTATTCACTTAGCTTTGCAAAGGTCTTTTTTAGTAGCTTGTAGTACTTATATCCCGTCTCTCCCATTCATGGCAAATTTATGTGGAAATTTTAACTCTCTCATCCTCTCTGTGGATATCGTTTTGCGAAGGCGTTAAGGGCATTCCATTGCGTTTCATGTAATATGGCCACTTGCTGCTCTACTGCTGATAGTTGGTTGAACATAGATGGAGGGTGAGGCACTTCTGCGCTCAGAGATCAGACAAACACCTAAGAGACCAACCGTGCAGTTGGCGTAGATTATTTTTAGATATTATTTCGTCATGTGGACTTCTAATGAAATAACAGTGCTCTTTGTTATCAGCAGACATAATTTTTACCACAATGAGTTCCGTGGATGATGTCGTTTATGCAAGAAAGGAGAAAGGTCCGAGGACTCCTCTGAAAACACCTTGTCAAGTTCCTCCAACCTTACTAGTTACCTCCCATACAAGAACGTTTCACTGATCCCAATGCAATACAAATCATAGTACACTGTAGAAGATTTTGCAAAAATTGGCACATGCGACATCTACGTCGAAACTGCCTTCTTGAACTTCAGTCGACGCCGCCGCTGAGTCCATGATATCCGTAAGGTAGGGACATCCTCATCAAAATCATGCAGTGAGTTGGTTTTCGTCCTTTGAAGAACTTTAATAGTCCATTGCGAAAGGTTGGTTACGGTTTCTGACCGACAGTCGTTTGCAAGCATGCGACTACCTATTCCGAGTAGTAGAACTACGTTGGTTTTTGCCCACCCCGAAGTCGAGCCGCCTGTTTGCATTGACAACCCGAAAAGATTCGAAAGGGAGCTGCCAGCTCTGTGACTAATTCCTTGAAACTCGGCGCAGGTATTCCTAGCAATCCAGAAGATGTATCGGGCCTATTAGAGGAACCGTTCTACCTCTTTGACAGAAACGGGTACACCTTCAGTGAAGGCAGGACCTTTTATTTACAACCCTAAGATGTCTTCCAGGCATTCGCCATAAACACCGATCGAAAGGAGTAAGACGGACGTTGAACCTCCTAGGTTTCATCCGACACCACTTCGCTGATCTTACCCCTCGGGCAGACAATTTCGTCTCTGTTCTTCCTCCTATCGCGGACATACCGGTGAAACTTCTTGGGATATACACAAGCTTATGCCGTCGGCTACCGCACAAAGGCAGTTCTAGATCTATATCAGTTTACAACACTTTTTACGCTGCCTCCTATATTCTACAAGTAATATGGGTTTTCGGACTCCAATTGCTCCATGCACTGTCCCTATCTCCATGCCCTATTTTATGCTCATGACGATTCATGAGGATCGGGAGCAGGGTATTATTCTCATTATAGGACTTCGGGCTTCAACCAGATGCTGCATAGACTCCAGCATACTGTCGAGAGGCTTCACCATTTGTCATGTCAGCTGACTGTGTTTCCTTCAAAGCCGAATATGCGATTGCGCTTGGATAACCTTTTCCTGCTATTTCGCCTAGTTTTAAGTTACAGTTATGGGACGGATGGGAGGAAACAGGCGCAAGTAAATGTGACATCATCACTTCAAGTGTTGGGTGTGAGTTCGCCTCTCTTATGACTCCGTTTTGCTACAGCGATACTCAGACGGTTAGGATATTGCCCATCTCCCAACCTTTTTTGTAGAAATACGTTGGGTGATTTATTCATCAAAGCGTAGCTTCGGTAGGTTTTAGTCGAATGGTGTTGTTGGGACATTTGCAGTCAAACGTTTCTTGTCTGTTGGAGGAGCGTTATACTTTTGAAATCACTTTTAACGAACTAAGCAGTTTACGGCTGAGTATTTATTCGAGCTTCGTGGTTTATAGACAGCGCAGAAGCCAAGAGTCGGAATTATTTGACCCTGCCCGATTATCAAATGATTTCGCACCTAGGAGTATCACATCGGTCATTACCCACTGACTGCAGAGGACGTTGTCATATGTATGGTTTCAAACGCCTTCATGTTTACATCATCGCCTGCCGCAATTTGGCGTCCGGTATCCTCCGATAATTATTTTATCGGCTTTTATTTCGTCTGTAGGCTAGGCCCCCGTCAATAGAACTATGTGTGTTTAGGTCTTTTTTATGTTTCCCACTTCGGCCTTCCAGGTCCGACTCCAAATTCAATAGTGGTTGCGGTTGGCCTGCTTTCTCGCGTGCTGCTGGCGCTTCTGGCGCGGACGATACAAACACAAACATTGAGCGTCACGAAGATTTGACCTTGGGCCAGCAGCGAACTGAAGTTACCTGCAAGTCGGTAGGTCCAACTGCCGTCAAGGTGTAGTCTTTCTCTGTAGGATGTTTTGTAGATAGTTGTGCAGTTAACTTTTGGAATACACCGCACATTAAAAATGCGGCAGATGCTGCGCAAGCCTGCCATCACTATAAACAAGTTTACGCGCAAGTCACCGTCCATGCTCCCACCCTACTGTTAAGCAAACGGTGGATATCGCCGGAAAAGTTTTAAAACATAGAATGAATAGGCACCCCCTTCGGGGGTAGTCCTTAAAAATCCTCACCTGCACTAACACCCCATTGCCAAAAATGTAAGCGTTGGTTTCGGAAGTCAGCACTTCGTATGGTTCACTTTGCTCTATACTCCCCACTGTTAACTTACCCCCAGTGCCTTGTACAACAGTCATATATACCTCCTTGTTTTCCTTTATCTCATTATTATTTATCGCATCAACCCCCCGCATTTGAACGTCGGCTTTGCTTTCCTTTCCGCATGACCAACCGTTTTTGATATTTTTGTCTAGTGTGGAGCCCACCTTGGCCACGTTTTCGAGGATGGACCAAGACCCACTGGTTTGAGATATTGCATCAATAGCGTAGCTATTGATTTCGTTCCAAAAGACTCGTAGCTGCACTTTTTCTGGATGGATTCTCAGGACCTCCACAGGCTTCCTTATTTGTCTATCGCTTGCTCTCTTTCGTACTTTTCTATAATAAGCGTACTTATAACTCGGTTTAGCTCGAAAACATGCTGGACATTTTTAAAATAAATGTTTCTCCTTATCTTTGCTATCAGGTCAAGACGTAATTTGTCCTTTCCTCGGCGTATCGCCTGGTCTGTCTACCGGCCAAAAAACCACTCCTCCGCATTCTCTTTTGTCCGATGCTAGAAGGCCTTATAAGCCTCTGGATTTGAATTCAAGGTAGCTCAGCTAAAATCAATTCGAAGTGGATGTCCTGGATCTCGACCGCAGTTTAATCAGGCTGCCTTGTCTTGGGTACTATTCCTCGGCCTCTGGACTGTCGTTCACAGTGACATCTTCCCGAAATACCAATTTGTATAATTGCAGTGGTTCTTGAGATTACTCATTAACTGGAGTTAGCGGCCACAAAGTAAGATAACAGTTCAGTCTTTGTTACCAACGGCGCCACTTGTGTGCCCCACAGCAGGGTAGACGCACAGACAGTGACTTGTGCGTGATTCCTCTATAGTGTTATTAGATTTGTGCTGCATCCACCGTATTTTTGCCCCCCTCACCCACTTGAGCCAGGTGTCGAGACAGTGAAGAAGATCGGAGGCGGGATAGGGCGCAGTGGGTAACAAGGTCAAACAGCCCATCTGCGCTTGTCACACAGGCCCGGGCCTCGCACGATGGACGGGGATTTTATACAAACAAGAACGGGGCGACTTGGGTCCTAACGGGTTGGGAGTGCAATGGAGATCACAATTAGAAGCCATTGCAGTCCAGCACTCCGTCCTGGGGTGGACCGAGTTATTCTGTCGATTGGCAGCCTTCCAAGCCATGGTTTTTAGCCTATCGTGATAACTTAAAAGCGCGTAAGGTTGTTTATAGTGAGGAACATGCGCTGAGTGCCATGGGGAAGAAGTCATTGGAGTCGACCTCATCTTCCCTCGCCCTGTCACCAATCGACTTTCCAAGTCTGACAACTATCTAGTGCCGGTGTTGGGCGCAGTGGACAAAAAAGCTCGTCTGTATGTGCCACACACGATCTGTCCTGGTGCTATGTTGCGCCACCTAGCACGTTTCCCCACTTACTCAAGAGGTGCCTATTACGTACCTGTGATGGGCGATGTGTGACGGGTTACTGTGCGGTTCATGCGCTGGTGGGGAGATATGCATGAAGGGACTGGCTCCGTTGTTTCACCGCAGATGTTCCTGGGGATGCATGTGGGCGAATAAACCCATACGACGACTGAATGTGCGTGGACAGTTGGGGCGAGAGCGCAGGGTGTATGCTGGTGCATCTGGCACTGGTTCGCCAGTTACAGTGCGGTGAGTTTGCAAAAAACTGACCAGGCCTATACCTGACGCTCATGTAGGTTGGCATTATGCTATAACAGTCTGTGAGCTGCTGAATTGGTGGTGGTAGCGACACTGGTCAAGTGGGAATTAGTGGAGCTAGAGATGGTGGAGTTTTTTGGGTGTGCGAGGTGGATTTGGCATGTCGACACTGCGGTAAATTCAGCTGCCGGGATTGCTCGTGTGGCCGCATAGGCTGATGCAGTGACTGAATGTGGGTGAGTAGTCGGGGCGAGTATGTCGGGCCTCACGCAGCACGACAGATTCGCACGTGATCGGCCAGGCCGACGCAGAATGTGAAGGTTCGGTCGCACTAAGTATGGATTGTGGTCGAGTCCGCACTGGTAGTCTGGTAGGACGTCGAATGTACTCCAGGGCACCACAGGGCCGTTTGTCCCTGGTTCCAAAGCACACCTAAGTTCTACGGGTTTTGACCAGAGGCTGGGAACTTTCGGTGCCGTTGTCCACCGCCCAACATGTTTGGTCGGGATTCCTGTAGTATTCCCAGCTTTTGAGCTTGTTTTGTAAACTCCTGGACCATTCCTATTGCTTGCAGGCGCTATATTAGACCTATTCGGTTAAGTAAGGCGTTGTGATTTCTGCCTGAAGGCTGAGTCATCATCCTGGCTCAAGTCCCCTAGGCACTAGCTTCTATGAGTTTAGCTCTGTGGGGTTATTTTACAGCTGCCATTCTTACGGCTGCTATGGTCCGTCCTGCCTTCTTTGGCCTGCCGTTACTGTTTATGTATTGCCCCACGCCGGCTGGATGGAGTTTTAAGGCGACTCGTGTTTCTCATACTAGTTTGACCTAACGGTAAAAATTGAATTCGAGACCTCCACATTGCATCGCTCGGTCAGGGATTTTGTGTCCTCAAACGAAGCGCATAGGTTTCCAAAGTTTGCTCATGAAAGAGCTTACGTCTGGTTCCCGTCACACAAAGTGATTTTTGTTAGTGTATCATGTTGGATAGCCCGAACTTCACTTGCGCGGGGAAGTAAAACGCCTTCGAAATCCCTGGCCTCGTTTTCCTGGGTTACCGCAGAATCCTCATTTTCCAAGTATTTTGGATTACGATTACGAAACACCCTGTTTCAGTCACAGGTGAACTCAACGGAGTCACCGTTTTTTCCTTATGACTGCTTTGAATTAGTCCTTAACGTCAGTTTTGTGCCGGTGCAGACTTAAAAGGTTGGACCCCCGTTGCGCGCACATTTCTACGTCAAATTTAGCCTAACAATATCGAGGGACACTGAAAGTGGTCGTTTCACACGTTCTTCGTCCACCGCTTCCTCAACCATCACCGGTGACTTAACCAGAAGCGACATTAGTACAAAAGATGCGCACGATCCACAAGTGGTCAATCAGAATCAGTCGGCAGCGTCGTGAGACCTGAGTTTCGTGTATTTTTGCTGAGGTAGACCGGGTAACTTCCCATTGAAATGGGCGTATGCTGATCTGACCGGCTTTCTAAATAAACTTGGTATTGCCTCTAGTGGCAGATGACTATTGATTGGTTAAAAAAACAAAAAATATCAGAGGCGGGCATGATAGGCAGTCGTTCTTTCGTGATTCCCACCGGTATAGGAGGGAGACGCTTACCCCTGATACCAAGCATCGGTATGCATCCAGTCAAGCGTATATACTTTGATCTATTCCAATAGGACTTGACCGAATCTCAGTAGTATCCTTGCCGAAAAATACCTCTCCAAGTTTTTCCCCTTCCGTTTTTATTGTTCAAATAGGCCAGTCGGGCTCGCAGTTTCTACAACTGAAGACCGTCAGTCGGTCAAACGTAACGATGGTATACATCAATCCACAATATGGGAGTGTCATATAAAAGTTAGTAGTCGACTGGGAGCAACAATGACTCGAAACTTTAAAGGCGGCCATTTTACGACCGGTTGAAATAACACAATACAACCCGTTTTGTGTCATCAGGCGATCGCAAATAGACGCGGAAGGCCTGAGATTCTTGTCACCTGTTGCAAACAAGTCTGTAGGTTCCAACTACGGGGTGTCAGCTTGTTCTTTCTGCCGATATCGGGAATGCCAAAATCTAACCAGGCATGTTCCTAACGGGTTTGCCCACTGGCCCACTATCCGACGCGTTCACGCTTGGAGCGTAGTGGAACGTCCTTCGGCACAAGATAGCGACAGAGTAAGTGTCCGCGTCTGGCAAATAAACAATAGCATGTCAGTTGCTGCTGTACAATGGCGGGGAACCTCTTTGGTGTACATCCCTATAAATAATAATAGTCGCACGGCCAAACTGGTATGGAGACTGTGGATGGTAAGTAGACGGATCGTTATGTCACCCTGTCAAGCGGTTAGGTTCCAGTAGTCAAAAGGCCAGAAGAGACAACTTCAAACCAGAACTTCCCAAGACTCTTTATTATATTTCGGGCCAGCCAGACCAAGCGTGATGTAGCACGTATTGAGTGCCGGCTCCTACCGTGTGTCATAGCTCAAGCTCGCAAACCGCATGACGATAAGTTGTACACCAACTAATCCAGGGGCACCTGATCGTCGTCCACAAATCCTGCATCTACAGAGAACGGCTGTCGGGAGTTGGTGGCTACATTACTCGGCATGTAGAATCTGTTCTGCTGACATAGCAGTCTGACACAGAGATGGAGGTCGGTCCAGCGACGCAAAAATTGCTTTGAAAGACCTCAGATCGGCGGCGCAAGACAGTGTGGAAACTCGAGGAAAGATAGGGGTGGGAGTTATCACTATATTTTTCTCAGAGAAGGATGCGATTTTACCACAACGAACAAGCCGAACAACGTCTTCGGTAGCCAACTTCCCTCATAAGCCAGAGAAAGGAGATGCCGACGTAGTGCTATCGCTTGGCAAGTGTGGCTGAACAATAATTCGGTATTATGACCGTTTCTCTGGAATAACTGACACATGGATCAGAAAGTGGAAACAGACACACACAAAAATAGCAATTATTCGCATTTGAAAATAGCGGCTGTACAAGGAGAAAAAGGTGAAACCCAGTCCTTTTTCAAGGTACCAAGTCGCGCAACTCGGAGGCAAGTTTCGACAAAAAGGCACGGAAGGCCTCGTCATCGCACGTGCTGCTTAGTTTCCGCATGAAAATTCTCAGGTTCCGGCCCACCTTCGGGTAGGCATTGGCAAAGTGAGCGAACTTCTGGAGAGTTTTACCAAAGGAGGAGCCGGTAAATTCCCGTAGGACCGCAGACAAAAGTGAGGTGTTGGCCACTGATGCATCACCGAAATTAAATTTCTAAATGGGAAAAGTAGCATATCAAAATGCAAGTAACAAACCCCCTAAGTAATATTTTCAACCAAGGACTGGACTACCATTTGATTGGTATTTGAAGAAGAAACTTTGTAACGAAGACATCCAATCTAAGCTTTCTAATTTCCTCAGAACCTAATGCGTGGACTTGGATTAAATACTTCGAGACAAACCCTTTCAGGCTCGGTCCGAAAGTTAGTATGAGCTAAAATCCAATGGCCTTTGCCTAATGGTCGCGCTGACGGTTATTGTGAAGCATCAGATTCAACAGTATGGAGTATTCACCCTGATCAGCCTCCCATAGACTCCATACGACAAGGTAATGGAAGTGCACGAAGATGTAAGAAGTACCGTTAGTTAGCTGGGGAGTCTGCTAGATGGGTCGCCAGTAGGGCGTAATGCACTTACAAAATGTAGCTGCGATCCATACTGGAGAACTAAAACTCACATCAGTCAGCACCGTGCCTGACTCAAAATGTGAAACAAACCAACAGGATAGCTTACAGCAGGCTAAATCTTCAGGTAAAGGTCCTTTGATATCCACATACAAGAATCTTACTCACCGCTCAACGGCACCTCAGGGGAACCTCACGAACTGCCCGAGGTTGGCGATCCTGCTAAGTAATCCAACGTCTCCCGAGTGGACAATTAGCAATGATACAAACATGTACCTCCCGTCGGCAAACTCTCTAAACACCCAAAAGACCATCGTTAACGGTCGACAAGAGCGAAACTCCCAGTCTAGCTGTTTTTGTCCAAGAGTGGAGGGGGGGGGGTTCACCAGAATGAGTACGGTCTGAACCTCAGCAAGGTGGATGTAGATGCGAAGGTCTTCCTCGAGGACGGCCCGCCCACGAGGGGAGAGTAACGGGAACAAGGGTGTACGAGGTGAGTTATAAATCGGTGAGAGCTGGACCAGTGCACCTGGTCTATTCAAAACGTTCTGTCATCGAAGCCGAAATAAAAACGCCACCGTCAACGACACAAAGGCACTTTGAAGAATCCCATGTAATCGTTCATACGGGAGACGTAGAGCCGTTTTGCTATCATTTGATGCCCCTCAGGACACATTGCATAACCTGGAGCATCATGCAGCCAAAAAATTCTTTGCATGTCAACTTCCATTGTACCTAAGGGAAGGTGTCCCGTCGGGTCCGATGCTCCAACCACTGTTATACCTTAACTACACCAAAAATTAAGATAATGCAGGGTGAGAGGTAGCTTCGATGGAGCGAGGTCCAAAGGAAAGAGTAGCAGGCAGTAACTAGTTGGAACGTGACCCAAAGAATAAAAACAAGGTCTGCCCCAACCAAAGTGTGAGACCCCTTTTCCTCCCAAAACCTTCACGAGTTCAAATAGCCATTGATTATACCGAGTTAAAGCCGTGCGTTGGCCTTCAACTTGGAACAGAAATTGCAGGAAGTCCTCACGACCCCAGCTGAGGGCCGGCATACATGCAGAGCTTGCGGAAGGAGCACCAAACGTCCGTTGAATGGCAACGACGAAACTGAGGTTAGATTGTGCAGTTTTTTAACTATTTTGTAACGAGGTCCACCGTAAAGTAAGCTACCGTAGCCTACGCCTTTAAGAAACTAATGAGTAAACGTGTAGCCTGTTAGCAATGTATTAGTCGTGGCAATATCCGGCTGGCTAAGACAGTTCAATAAGACGTCATATTCCACAAAGCCCACCTCGTTAAATAACGCGGTTTAAGCTTGTAAGGTCGAATTAAACGCCCTACAAATCCCTTTGCTATGATGAAAATGGACCAGCGAGGGAACCATTAGATGTAGGCACTTTCGGTTACCTTGCTTCGAAATGTTTCCCCAAGTTTCTCCTAAGTGTAAACTTATAGACACATTGCCTAGTAAGCGTGTATAGATCAGTCCACTGCGCAATATGATGGTTGTACAGTCGGTCTATTCTATTGTAGAAAGGGAGTGGTATAGTGATATGCTCTGGCGATCTTTACGAGAAATTTGTCCAAGAGAAGACACTAAAATTCAGAAGTTGGGTCTTCAATAATCAAAGGGCACCTTAGAAAACCAAGCGGATTTAAAATTCCCAGTTCGCTGGTTACTGGTCCTCATCTGACTGGACCGAACCCATTGCGGTCGTAGAAAAGGTTGTAGAACATAACGGCACGCGTTGTTATGGACAGTAAATTAATCCGACAATCGCTGAGAAAACTTCACCTAGGTCTAGTAGTAATCCCCCAAAGGACAAGAATGCGCCCTCGCAATCATCTGATGCCAAAATCACTGCGAGGTGAAAGGTAACAATGATGCTGGCCTATTGCCCACGGTGACACGCTACCAATCACAAGACAGGCTAGCGGTGTGATGCTGCCGCAATGCCTGTTGGGAAGAGCTCCCCCCCCCCCCCACCCCCAAGCACTATAATATTGCAAGAGCGTCTGCGAGAAGTAAACAGAGTGAGCCACTGCCCGGATCGCTGGGACTGGTGGCAAGATACAAGCCGCGTTGACAACGACAGTTGGAGCAAATGCGGAATTATTGCAGACGGTTGAGCATGTGTCGGTGCAAGGCCTCGACTTCCATTGAATATTGGGCGAGAACTGAAATGTACTACAGGCGACTGCCAACTCCCCAAATAGGCTTATGATGTGGGAAAGGAGGCAGAGTCTCGGCAATATTCGTTAGCTGCCTAAAGCTCCACAGCCTGTGACATGGGCGATGCATCCCTCGAAAACAGAGGAGCGAGCAGGGGGGGTTCGGAACAATCACCAGCAGGCAGGGCTTAACTCCAACTCTGTTATGGCCACAAGGAATACGGCCAGTTATCTAAAGCAGAACTTTACCCAACAACAAGCAGGCCACTTGGGCTCGCCTACCGTTACAGCGTCCTTTGACCCAGTGTATGGTACAACATAGGCGGCATTTGAAGGATCGACTAAGAAGTCGCGTGGATAAAGCAAGATTGCTAAACGATCAAGGAGCTCAATCTGGCCGCTCAGCAGAATTTAGCAGTCAGGCGGCCGCCGTAAGGACAAAGGTCTTAGGCGCTGAAGAGATATTAATAAACCCATGGCTCATAACTAAAGGCATGCACACTCCCGTATGTAAAATAAACCAACAAAAGTGGAGAGTGGAATTGATAAACATACTGAAACGTAAAATCAACACCCACCTTAAGTACAACCAAGGAGAAATCGTAGACAACTGCGAGCATGCCAATAGCCTTGCCAATGTTAGACTTCGCCTCTCGGGTAAGGTTTTCTTTGGACATCACGTCCCAAAATGCACATCGTATCAGCAGCTAAAAGTAAATGCACCTTTAATAGAAAAATGGAACACTCACCAAGCGCCATCAGAACGCCAATTGCCATTTACTAGGATTCCCATGCATGGCGAATTAATCGGGTTCCCTAGCGCTCGAATTTTGAGCCCGCTGTCTTCGAAAGTCACAGGGGCATGACATTCACCCACCTAGTCTGACTGCATGGCGGCCTTTTTCCAACTAACTTGTGTCCAGATCTCAGGCCTTGCTGGCCTGACAGAATAAGCTAGAAATGGCCATTCCAGTCTCCTTTGTTTCTGTTGGCGATACATATTGCCTAAAGTTTTTTAAAGCGTTGCCTTAGATTAGTTCAGAGTGCCAGTAAAATATTGTTCAGACAAAGTTCGGTGTTCTGTGAACTCGCACACACTCGACCGGAAGGTTGCAAGCCAAAGCTGTCCTCCAATAAAAATACAGATGCATTGTACGCTACTGAGTCCCTAAAACAGGCCCCTGACTAAGTAGCACCCATAGGCCAATTAACGCGTCTTGGGAATTGTAACATTTGCAATGGCCTGCCCCGAACCAACAAGTCTTGGTATTTTCGAAGAACAACCCGACATTAACGCTCGCAGCTCCTCATAGTGACAATGGTGCGAAGAGGAAAAAAAACTTACGCCAAACTGTCGCTGATGGTTGAGGAGACCACCTAGGACGCGAGGATAAAAGCGGTTGAAGGGCTGTTCGGAGATGAGACAATGTAGTACAACATGCACAACCTCACGTTCACGATGTTCGGCAGAGGATTTTTTGTCGCCGCCAGAAGCTCGTAAAAGTGCGGCTGCGGTGCTGTCTGGACCACCGGGGGTCGACATGAGGAGGGCGAAAAGTTGGCGTCGGAGCGGGGTTATGAGACCCAGTCGATCAGCAGCATCAGCCAACTAAAGAAAGTGAGGAAATTCATGGTACTCAACCAGAGCAGTGCTGGGATAGTTGGGCTAAAATGGTTATTCATCAGGCATTGAAAAGACGGTTGCGACACCAATCGCATCAAACTGGGCCATTAAATGAAAACAGTTCATGGTTTACTACGGAACGTTAACCGTTAGTACCTAGACACCACTAGCACTGGGTCACACAAGTCTATTCATCGGCATCGGAGAACAAAAATACGCTAAAACGGCGACTGCTAAGGACTCTCTTAAACCAAATTGAATCGGAGGACTGAAAACAGGCCTTCTTCGCCCCTAATGCTCTAAACGTTGGCAGTTGCACAGTACCAAAACGGTCCTGAAACAGCATTTTTTAAAAGGTGTAGACGGCTTGGCAGCTATGTAGGTCGCCAACAATGTGCACGGGAAATAAATTTAATAAAAGGATGGGAAGTGTGGATGGTCGTCTCATGATGGTGACCAAACGCTAGCATAGCTTAACTTTACTCACTATGAATAGGGCTTTCCTCTCTGATCTGAGACGTGATCACAGAAAGTTACGGCGAACGACGCCAGGATAGTCGGCGACCTAGAGTCCGCCTCGTCCGGGATAGTGGGCTTCGTGCAGTTGAGCTCCCAGTGATTTTCATCTGAAGAAATATTCTTGGACGGAGTGTTATGTGGCAATAACCAATACTGATAGAGTAACGGGGCAACTCGAACGCGGACAGAGGTTCGTCGGCCGACCTAGCGCTTTTTTAGTCAAATACGCAAAATATGTTTTTTCAATCACCCCTTAAACAATGTACCTCCCAACACCTGATATAAGGAACATGATATGATCCGTACATTAACAAGATGTCAGCATAACGGTTAGGACAATATTGGAATAAAGTAGCATAAGGTAGTGAAATTACAAAGGCTAGAGATAAAAACACACACTGGGTCTTAGCAATAGGAAGCTATGGACATGACCGTCTTCTTCTTCTTCTTCGAGTTCAAGTGTTATACCTTTGAACTAGGCACAGGATTCCGGAGAAAAGGCAAGCAAACGAGAAATAAAGGTCCACGGTACTAGCATTCCTCTTCTCGGACTTGCTTAGTTCTTCGAGTCTTCTGGAAACTCGTGTCTGATTGGTAGCGTTAGATATTTTGGAAAGTTTAATGACACCACTTGGTACGTTAAGAAAACAAGACTTGCCCGTTACCTCCTTTGTTAGAACGGACGCATCGGGTACTCGCGATGATACGCCCTCGTTGTTGCTCTGGCCTTTCAGTGCTTCTCCATGGAAGGCTGAACCGACAAGCCACCAACGGCCTTTTTCACTGGGATTTCGCAGTTCCACAAGATGCAGGGGGAGGCGGGCCTCCTTGGGAAATGATATGCCTACATGCAGAGAAAATCGGCAAAAAGATAGAGGAAAGGAGTGCTTGAATTCACTCAAATTACTTAGTCGGTGCGTTCAACGACAGCGTGCTCAATTTCCGGACTAAATTTCGTAGGTGGAAGCTCAGGTAGATAGGCAGAGAATCAGGTAAAAACGTGACCTTTCTATCAAGAGGGCGATATCCACATACAATAGATGCGCTATCTCATGAAATATCCACCGAAATTCTGAATTATATTTTCGACTCGAAATGACTACTTAAGTAGGGTTGTAATATAAGTGATTGTCCAGCATTATCCAACAACATTTCAGTCGCATCAGGATGCCGGTTCCTCCACCCACTTATTTGGTGGCGAATTATGTTTCCTTGAAATTTTATCCTTGATGGGTATCTTTCGGTTTTAATGTTTCTAATTATGAGATTTTTAAAACCGTGAAATGCTCAATCACACAATATCGCACCAGCACCTTTAGTAATGCTACATATACAGTATGCAACCTGGTCCACATCCATTGTAAAATTTCATGAGTGCTTGATGACGCCTCCCTAACAAAGTAGAGAAATGTATGACATTAGTTTGGCGAAGTGTATACAGCATTTAGTTTGGAAACCCTGGTTGAAAGTGTAACGGCAGGTGGGACTAAAAAGTGCTCGGCGATTGAAGTTTTAAAAAACCGAGAGATGCTCTCTCCCTCCCCAGGTAAAAAAACATTGAAGGCACGCTCCAAACAATCATCGCAGGTGGTTTGCAAGACCAGCAAATCAAAAATTGTGAAAGGTAGGTTCGGACAGATGTCAGTTCCTTACCCTTGTTCCATGTGCGCATCATCTTTACGAAGTGATCTGCGCTGGATAAAGCTGGTTCCTGGGAGCGTTTTTCTGATAGACATGTCAGGATACTTTCCAATTCCGAACTGGAATGGAGGTAAAATAAGGAGTAGAAGAAAGAATTGGCATGACAGCTAAGATTGGGAAGGCAGAAATGTGGGCCAACGTGCTAACAAACGGGAGTAACATTATGAAAGGATGTTGAAACGGCGTAGTAAGTGGCACTACATACTCCTCCCAAGAATAAGGTTGGCAGGCCGGAGGTATTAAAGGCAGAGAACCGAGCAGGGCCTAACTTTAAACACTACTTACACTTTGTCAAACTCTTGCTGATCTGGTTGCGACAGAAGCCCCTTCACTTTTGCGTGAATCTCTTGGCACCGCTGAACCAGTTCCTTTCGTATGACTGAACTGATTGCTTTCGGGAAAGATGTAAAAGTCATCGTGAGGAGGCAAGAGAGATACGATAAGAGAAACCCATAAGATAAGAGAAGACCAAGACATCTCACGTTTTAACATTTGATGAGCTGCTTGCATCGCCATAAGCTGTCCGGAATTAACAAACTCGTCAACGAGATCAAAAATAAGGTCGCCGGTTATACCCTGTAGGAGAAAAAAAGAATACCCAGCTAGAATATGAAAAACAGTCTGTCGGGCAGCATTAGGAAACATTCAAAAATATACTTAGCGGTAACAAAAATGTGTGTGCAGTTTTAGATGATAATTACCCCGAACCGGTAGAGGTATGAGAGAAAGACGGCACGAGAAGCCAGCAGGCCCCCGTCAAGGCCATCCGGGATTGGTGCGGAGGGTTGTAGCTGAGGAATGTTCCCAACGATGTATTCGGCTATATGCGCAACCAGGTGGGCACCCTGACCAGCCTGGTCCAGTCGGGCCTGGATGCTTAAGAAGCAGGCGGCCAACTCCTGCTGGAGCCAGCCGACGCTCTGGGACCGACTGAATGGGAAGGACTGCATGTAAGTAGAAAGGAAGGTGTTTTATCCGCGAATCAAAAAATAAGGTTGGACTGTGAGCAACACGCAATAAGAAAAATTATTAGCCGGCACATTCAGTTAGTTTTTGTAGATGTTGCGAAGACTAATCAACAAGAAGAGTACAAGTGTGGCAGATAACAATTAGAGACTGAGTAGAGAATACAAATATAAAGGGTGGCAAAAAGTGAGGGAGACGAATAAATTTCTACCTTTAGTAGAACATCTACTTCTTCTATTAAGATGCTACGAACAATGCCACGCGGGTTGTCGGCAAATACAGACGTAATGTCAGAAATTGCGCGGGACATCTGGGCCTCTGAAACGCAGTTCAAAAGCCGGCGGATGTTTTTGCGAAGAGCGGTCCAGTTGCTCGGAGAATCCTCTTCGGCGCTGTGCGCTTTACTTGTTTCAAGACTCAAAGAGCTTTCTTTTGCTTCTTCGCCATTACGAAGATTCGTGCTTGGAGGATTAGGTGCAGCTAAGTCTTCTGCAAACGAATCCTCGTCGGACGTATCTGAAAGAGATCCAAAAAGTGACAAAGACTCATCAGAAAACGCCGAATGCAAGTTGCGGTATGACTTGAGGATCGCGGATGAGGGCGTAAACGAGTACGTCGACATAAGCATGAGCTATGGTGGCTATGATTACGCTCTCTTAATTATAAGGATGTAGGCAGGTAGGGTAGTTAAGATACACTGAAGCAATTAAGACGGGGTAAAACGCAAACAGGAGACCCAAGATGTCATAAAAGGGTGGTCAAAAATCATCAACACGACAGATAGACAAAGTCACTTTATAAGGATCACCACGTTATTCGCAAATTCTTCAGACAATCAACTGACCAGCATTAGAAAAAAAAGATGGATTAAGTGCCCTTACAGCCCAAGCTCTAGTTTGTCATATTTTCAAGATGCTACATGGCACAAAAGAGCTACTGGTTTGGAGATTAAACGTGCAGGTCACGGAGACAAGTAAGGCACGGAGTTCAGCAGGCGAACCTATACGTGAGAGGCGGGGAAACCCTCCACGATATACCAGCCGCCGTTTGCATCACAATCTGGGTAGCGGTGGTTCCAGTATCTATATCACCAAAAGAACACAAGTGATAGGCCTGTATTTGGGGCAAGCACGGGCAAGGTGGAATAAACGTGAGATACAACCACCAGAAGTTGCACAAAGTGGTCAGCGGATAAGAAAACCAATTTTTCGGCTTTTTGTGAGCTAGGCGGTAAAGACGTTCCATACCATCGAGACAGTAACTTGCTGGAAATCGGCGTTGATGCCCAGACAATGGAGGTTCAGAGTAACATTGAGGGGCTGTTTCAACCTATTCACTCCTTGGGACAGTTCTGCAGCTGTGGTGCCCACTCCGATCTCGCGGAATCCCACCAACATGTTGAGCTCGTGGGCAACGAGTACGCGTAAGGCTGTGTTGCGTTGTTTCTATGCATAATTCGTCGCTCCTTAGAAAAGATACATCGCAAGCCAATCTGTTACCGATAACTTACTGACTGATTCGACAGTTACCTCGGCACTCGATAGGCGGTTATACGCGTTTTTCAATTATTATTCGTTGTTCTTTTGAATCAGTACACAGTAGATTGTTTGATCACAAGAGTTCCTAGCAGTATTGATACGGCATAGTTTAAATGGCAGCATATGGAGTGTGTCCGTGACTATGAAGTCCGACGGCGAAGCAGGACAACTTCTTAAGGCCGTCACGCAAGGATTCAGAAGACCACCCGCTCTGTCCACTGCCTCTGCCACATATTTGGGCGTCCTTACCGGCGCCAATACAGTACCGTCTAAGGAACATTTGACATACTTTCAAAACCTCTTCACGTTTGAGGACCCTTCCACAAGCTTACCTAGCCAAACTTCGCGTTCTCAGCACAATTTCTCTGTAAGTACTAGATGAGACTGGTGTTCACCGACCTATCCTGATTGAAGGGCGGAAATGGGCATTTCGGCTTTACTTTGGAGTTCATGATTGAAGGCCCACACAGTTTCTGCATCAACCAATAATTAAGAGATTCCCAACAAATGGAACGGACAACGGAATGGCCACTTCTGTTATACCACAAAACTCATTCGTCCACTTCCAAACCTTACACCCACAAAATGTCTAAAGAGGCTCCATCTGCCGACAGAGGAACAGAGGCGACAAAGCGCAGGTCATAACAAGGTACACAGGATTGTAAACAGGATAAGCGACCAGGATATGGACTCCCCTTTTGGACGGCATCACAAACGCGAATTTCGCATGCATCCTTAAAGTTGCAGGAGTCGTGTGTTAGGCCATAAGTCAAACAAACGATATCCATGCGTGAAATTATCAGGCAACGAAAAAGATCGAGCATGTAAATACAGAACCCACGCGCGCTAAAAAAAACTCGCGACCTCATACTAGAGTGAGGGCAGCCCGACAAATTTCGATCCAGTAAATGAAGTTCCAATCTCGTCGCCTACCACCTGAAACTGAGATGAGACATCAGAACGCACGCCTGGTGCTCCGAGTTGACAAACCCAGTTTTCAAACGGGGGTACCGGCCAGTCCCGGGCTACGGGCTGAAGGAATAGGTCATTGATACTGTCAAGATGCGAGCCCTCGGCCGGAGAACACTGAGCAACAGCAGTGAAAGATAAAGTTAGATGCCTTATTTCGCTTGGCCGTAAACAGTCAGGGCCAACGCGCACTCTAAGTGCGCATTTTATAAACGGGGCCAAAACACGCATTTGCCGATACGGCGTACTTACGCTCTTTTGCGCCTGCAGAACGATGCCTCTCCCTTACGAGGCAACGGAGAAAAGGTTATAAACAGTCAATATACTACTGCCTATTCAAAACGAAGTCATCCTGAGCATTTTACCATTACAATATGAATCAAAATCCCTCCAACATACCCATGGATTCCTCCGCGTCCACATCATCGACTTCGGAGTCTTGGCCATATATATTGTGTTGAGACTCTAAAGCGAAAGTAAGAGTGCAACATACGCATACGTTTAGTAGACTTCCGGACACCCAATGAATTTCCCTCAACCGACTGTTCCTCATGATCGGAGGCATATTTATTGAACCCCAGCAAATCTAAAACACTATAATACACAGAATGATCAGAACGTACACTCCAGTCCACTGTCACGCATCCATGCCGGCTGCTTCGAAGTACCATCCTTTTTCTTACGGCGATTAAGTCCTAGCTTCTTCGACAATTTTTTTATAACAGCCTTTTCCTTCTCATTATCCGCCAGCAACTGCTGTTTTCGTCTATCAGTATAGGTCAGTCTGGAATTTGAAGGTAAGTAAGTTCAAACTAAACCTCTTCTTTGTCCTTTGGTTCCTCATATGTGTCGGACAGAGCCTTCCGACTGATGCAGACAAATTGGGAGAACCGGTCGAGGAGTGAGGATAAATTAAGAGTCGTTCAGACCTACAATGGAAGGGTTGTGTCGAATCTGAAAAGAAGGCGCAAGCGTCGCATACACGCACAAAATAAGGTGATGATCATGAGAGTTGCAATATTTCTAAGGTAGAATAGACGAGTGCACGTAATAACTGACCGATTATAAAAGAGAAGGGGTAATTAGCACATAGGTTGGGAGATGAGGCATGCATGCGACTGCGAGGAACAGTACTGGCCAAGAAACCGTGTAGTTCCGTGGTCTTGGTCAGGCAACTAGCTTGAATCTCTTGCATCCAACAGAAGGTTGCTGGCTATGACTGATGTAAAAATCGGAAGAACGGGTACTACAAAGTGCACCTAAAGTAAAACTTCACCCGGGAGGGGGGGCAGTAGTCACAGTATAACCGCAGTGTTTCTTGGTGAAAGAGGACTGTGAAAAATATATTCGTTTAGTAGAAAGATAGAAATGAAGTCCCCACAAAGGCTAAAACAGGTACCATACAAATGAAAAGTAATGTCGTAAAATTCGCAGATACCAGCAAAATGAGTTAAGGGCAAGAGACCATTTCCAGGAGAGGTTGTTTTCTGAAAAGGTAAAACTTTAACCGATGCTGGGTCTCGTCCATTTGCTCCCATTTTCGATCTATTGATCGATGCATGGCGCGCAGCCAGCATTTTATCCTACCACTGTAAAGTCCACTGTGGTTCATGGCTGCTTCGGTTTTCGTGTTAACAAAACACTACGTAATGCTCAGGGCCAACATATAGAACTCCATTGTATCGGCACCATTCTTTGGAAACAAGTATATCGTACGGTTAAACCAAATTCTGCATTAAAGAACTAAGACAGGAAGCGGTTTTGTCAGGATTCCTTTGAAACACACCTATTTTCTGCATGCTATGTGGGAAATTGCCCCTAAAATGAGCGACGCGGTAGATGCGCTGGACCAACACCGGGGCTAGATCGGAATTCGGCATGAGTTATCGGGAATGCGCACCCATAACAAATGCCAACATTGGAGATGTAATGACAAACCAGTGTGCAGGTACACGCCTTGCCAGTTGGGATTCGTGTCCCTTCCCACCCACCCACCCCCTTACGTTTTGTTATCGTACGACAGTTCGACCGTCGTTGACAATGATGTCCACCGTTTGTTACACAGCAAGGTGCAGCAGGCACGGCGACTTGCGCGTGATTTAGTCTATAGTGATAGTAGACTTGCGCAGTGTCTACCGCACTCTCTCCTCCCCCACCCGGACCCGGTGTCAAGACAGAGTCAAGAAGACCGGGACGGGGGGAGGCGCAGGCGGCTGGAACAGCCGGACCCGCTCCTAGGCGTGCCACCACACCGCCTGGTCTACAAGATACACCTGACCAACAACAACAACAACATACCAACATGGGTCAGAAGGACGAGGATGACTGGGTAGCCATGCCCACCACCTCTATGCCTAGCGGGAGCGCAAACACATCCACCGGCAGGGAACTGCCAGCGCATATCAGGCTGCGAGGGCCATAGTTTGTTGATACTGGCATAGCACAGGCTGTCAGACCTTTGACATAGAAGGGCGACACGTGGCCCTGCATTTAGCCTGGGTCGTCAACCTTTAAGGTTGGGTAACCAAACAGTCCTCGACAGAGAAGCACTACCCATAAAGCACACACACCTCGCATGCACGAGTGTCAGCCTGGCTCTTGGCCCTCCAGTCCGCCACTCCACACAACACACACAGCTGGGCGGACTGCGTGGACTTGGTTGGGGTGTCAGTCGGCTGCTTTCCGAGCCACGGCACTCGATGCATCGTCTTCGGGTTAGACTCCGATCACACATGCGGCAGTCGAGTCACATGGAGAAGGAGCCGAAACGCAGATTTCTCACTTGCGTGGGAGGTGGCAGTTTGGTGCTTGCGGTGGGTGATGTTGACGTGTGATGAGATGCTGGGGAGGGAGGATGTGATGGTGTGGTGCAACCGGCGGCTGTCTACCGCAGGTTTTTGTTGACGCGCATGTGGCCCAATAGAGCCATGCGGCGAATGGATGTGGATAGTAGAGGTGGATGCGGCTAGTGTGGGTTGGTGCTCCGGGCACTGGTTCGCCAGTCTCTGTGCGATGAATTCGCAAGTAACCGACTAGGCCAATGCGTGAGGTCAATGTACGGGGATAGTATGGACATGATAAGTTGATGGTGTCAGTATCAGCTTTGGTGGTGGTGGTGGTGGTGATGGTGGGGCTGGTTGTTGTGGTATAAAATCCTGGTCAGTGTACGTTGTGGACCAGGGTGTGTGGTTGTACGCCTAAGTGCGGGTTTACGCCGTGCCAGCCACCTGCGTCCTTTCCCGCCCCGGGTCTTCATAATTCTGTCTTGACACCGGGTCCAGGTGGGGGGAGGAAGAGAGAGAGGGAGCGGTAGGTGCTGCTCAAGTCCACTATCACAATGAACTAATTTAGTGCAAGTCGTCACCATTGTTCTCACCATGCTGTAGAGCACACGGTGGACATTTTCGGTAACGACGGCCAAACTATCGTACGTGGGGGAAAACATGAGTCTGTGAATTAACGAGTACGTCTGCTTAACATTCAGAAACGGGGCATACCCAGTAGTGTGTGTGGCTGTGCAGCAAACCATCAATACGCATGGCAAACGCTTTCCCCAATCGTGACGACAGGGGTCGTCCTTGAAGTTTTTGACAGACGGTATAGTATAATATCGATTTACTCGACCTACCCGTTCCTTTCCGGGCGTGTCGAAGTTGTACATATCTTACGGGTTTCGAGTAGTTTGAAAACGCCCTGGGCCAGTTTGTTGCAGAAATCTTCGCCGCGATCTAGATGAATCAATAGGCGCACCTCGAAGCGATATATCCATCCACTAAATATGGCAGGCGTCACGCAAGCGACGTCCTGCCGTAGTGGAGCCGCTTCAGACCACTTGCTGATATAGTCCTAGTCGTTGGAAAGGAAGAAAGTCTGCACATGGGTTCTGATGGTGCACGCATCTGTTAATGCCACGCCTTGAAAGAAACGCAAGCTACACAGACATTACAAGGTGGCGATTTAGTATCGAAAACATTTTGTCCTTTGCTCCCGTTCCAGGTTTTTCGATAGTTCATTGCGAAAGTACTGTTGAGGCGAGGCTACCTGAGACGATGCCGAGTTCTGTTTGTGACGTTTTGAGCAATATAATATCATTTTCAACAAGTAGGTGAGCCCAACAGTTGCAGTGAATGTAAGCGTCTTCGGGACATCCATGCAATTCGCAATCTTTAAGACGCTGCCGCCTATGGAAAGAGATGGGCATGGACCACGAATGTCCGGATCCGTAGTTTGTGCGACGGTACAGTGATACCACGTCAGTTTGCCGAGTTGTATGGCGTTGGTTTGATCGGAAAAATCGCTCGTCGCCCGGCTTTCAAAGTCGCATAACGTCTCGATAGCGCGCCTGTGTTGACATTATGTTTGACAGAAGGGTATATGTAAAGAAATCTAAACTTCTAGAGCGCCTCTTGCCGAGGTAAGTCGGTCTGCTGCATTCTTCTTGTTCTGTAATCAACGGAGGACGAATTATAAGGAGTGTGCACAGCAAAAACGACAGAACTGGCTGACGAACGTGATTATTACCAGCAATTGACGACGATACGGATAGTAGTTTAGTTGTGACTCAAATAGAATCAAACTAGTCTCCGGCAACCGCCTCAATCAGCGTGTGGGAAATGTCACGATGGCAAACCCATCGGCATCTGTATCATGTATGAAGGGAATTATCGACAGACATTAGGCAGCATGAAGGCCGTCACCATTGTCAGGAGAGTCTTTAATTCATCAGACAGGAAGCTTACGCCACATAAGCTGAGGGGTCACGATAAAAGCATGTTCGGTGACAGCAGAAGGAAAGCGAACTATTAATAATATAGAGTCGAGATGTTTTAACTGTGAACCGCCCGCATTCATCAGTCTAGGTAATTGGTTTACCTTATTGGTGTGCAATACAGTGTCTGTGGTCGAACACATGGGTTACGTAGAAACACTGGTGCGTTACTATCGAAAAGTGCCTGAACTGAATGGCTGTCTACAGAAAGGCGGGAGGGAAAAATTTACGTCCGAGCACAAAAACAGAATAGGTAGAGTCGTGTGCTATTCACGGCCGGTTCTCGTGATATTCTGCCTATTTTTCGTAGCGTAGAAGCCACTCTCTCTGGATACGAATGCCCTGATTGGACGCTTGGAATGGTCCTAGGCGAATACGCCGGCCATACTCAACAGATGTCGAATTTAGGTCCGGTTTCGGAGACGTTAGTCCATTCAGGCTCTGGTTTCGCTGAAGGATTGTGTCCGCGTGCACATTGTAGTCTGTCGATCAATTGTAACCTCAAGCTCCACAGGAGAATGTTAGATTTGTGAATGGGAGGGTTTGGCTGCTGCCAGTTCCTCGACAAATGATGGAGAATCGCGTTCTTTTCAGTGAAAAGGGAGGAATATGCTATGCGTGAGATTCGCCAAAACCGTCACAAAACCTTGGCTTCTTATGGTCGGTAACGACTTATGAACAGCTGCTCAGTATTCTCGCGATTGGGTGTGACAGGTTGGGAAGGCTGCTTAGGCAATCATTTATTATTCAATAATTTCTGTGCGAGTGGACCTGTGTTGAGAACCCCACCTAGCCATAGTATCAGAAACTTGTACCGTGCGTGTTCCCTCAGAATGCGGGACGCCTAAGACACCAGAGCGTACGACGTGGCCAGGTACCGAAACTATTCTTGCCACCGTCCCATTAAATATTCGGTTTGAGATTTTGCGATAGATAAATCCAGGGGGTTAATTTTCAGTAGACCTGGTCATTGCGTTGCCACCACTGTGGTAAATGGGCCTTCAGATGGGTGAAAATATCGAGTTCTTTCAGGATCTGTCGTTCTCTCTTCTTCCCCGTCGTCGGACGAGTTGTGGACCCCTTCTTCAGGTAAGAACACATCATCTTTTCCTCAGTCATAGACCCAGTAGCTCGCTAATAAATGCGCACATATAAGGAGTGTGCTTATATCGGGAGAAAAGGCTACGGATGAATAAATAGGTATTCTGTCTAGACAGAAATGTCCGGACGAGTATTCACAAGACAGCTTTTCGAACAACCACAATAGCACGCAGGTTAACTGTTTCAGAGACGCAGACTATAGTTAATGCAGTCGCAAGAGATGGAAATGGTTCGACGACATCCAGTGACTATAGTGCACTATAATGAACATATACTCACCGAGTGTGCTACGAGACGTTACAAAAACACACGGTTCAGTGCGCGCTTTCTGCAAAATTCGCGGGAGCCTATTCTCTCAGTTTAAGAAACTGTCATCACGTAATCAATCACAGTACCTTTCGTTCAAGTTCGCCCACAAACCTTTACACACACGCCGTTACCTAGTGTGCGTGAAGAGTAGCAAGTTAAATAAGGCGCTGAAAATTCGGCAAAGTAAATAAAATTTAGAGTTTTTGCCATTCCAGCACTTGCGTAATAATGTGCCCAAGTCTGCATCAAACCCACTTGATCCATCATAAAGCATTAACTGGTCCCTATGCAAAGGGCCCTGTGCATTAATTTAAAAGGTAGCAAACTGAAGATTAGCCCTGGGGCGTCTAGCGACCATCCAAAATATGTCGGCTTAGAGGTTTAAAATGTCTGGCCTCGCGCGTGCTAGTTATTCAATGCCTCACTTCTGGATGTATTCCGTCGACGTTTTTAGTTTTCTGTACGAAAGTGTCTACCTTGTAGAAATGTAGCCGACTCGTGCGAAATGATTGGTTCTCCATAATATATCTGTTTTACGAGCCATTTGGTTTGACGTCCCTTGAACTGAACAGAGTTGTCCGAATGAATTGACACTTTTGAGCGCAGATACACATTGGAGCTGATGTGACCGCATGTCGGTCAAAATAATCGGTTTCTAATGCTTCTTCTGTAACAGCTACTCCACATTCGACTTTGGGAGTTTTGGCCTCCCTGCTTCTTCGAGGGGCCGACCGTCGCCGACAAGGCCTGACGCTGAAGACTGCTAGCAACAGAGGAGCCAGCGTGCAAGGCTGATGGGTCTGCGCATTTGGAGGTGTTTCTGGCCTTACCAGCTTCTAGGAAGTTGTCAAGAATAAGAGACTGGTCGCGCATTTTGCACCCTTCACGTTGGGGATATTTGTAGCACCGAGACATCCGCGTTCGACAGGTGTTGGAAGAAGCTCTTGAAACATGTTATCGCGGCCTTGGCGTCCACCGGACCCATCATGAAGCCCAGTACGGTAGCGTTATTGAACGGCTCCTCGGACCGCGCAGTGCGCATCGAAGGGATTAATGTTGGAAGCCGCTATCGGCACAAGGATCCGCGTGGTATCGGTTCTTCTGGGGGTCTGAGATGCAGAATCGGTAACTGCAACGAAGGGGGTCGACGATTACGATGTGCCGATGGTCAGCATTACCGTCTTTATGATCCGCTCGGCGTGGCCTATGCTCTCCTGCCCAAGACCTGGGAAACGGCGTAGCGGCGGCTGGGATCTTTGTTTCGAAAAGGGGCAGTTTCCAAAGAGCTGACTTCGGACATTGGTTACCTAGCAACAGCTTTTCAGCACCCAACGTGATTCCTACCTTGCACCGATAGAGAGAAGAAGAGAGATAGAAGCCATAAACAGACTGATAAATGGGTCCCAGAGTTTGATACAAATCTGTGTATAATGGGCGCTGACCGAGAAGAGGGTGTACCGGATGATGGCGAAATGAGTCATTAGGTGGCCGATGCTGGTGGCGACGTAGGCTAACTGATCGATGACAGCAGTTGGGCTGTTCCATGATACCTTCATCATCCCACTGAACTGAGGAATAACTGAGGCTTCCAGGTTTGTCACAAGACGGTGCACGCAAATCGAGCGACGGTCCGCAAATGCATTAATCTCGGAGCTGAAGGAGGTCGGCTTCTCCGGGCTTGCTGTTGGAAGCTCCGACTTTCCTCTCTTTTTCAGCTCTCCAGTGTTCTTGACGCAGTAGGAGGCAGTAACTAGGATGACACAAACACTAAGAATTTCGAACAAATCTAGGGAGGCCAAGCTGAATGCTTTCAAGAAAATTGCAGCGACTCCGGTAGAGGTCGATGAGGAAGAAATAGGCAAACTGGAGATGACATGGAAGAGGACCTTCTCTGTGCACTCTGAGGGGTACCACCACAGGAGACAAGTGAGCCGAACGACGCCTTTGCCCCGGTTTGGCTGAAACTTCTGCTTAAGAAGCTGGTTGTTGAGAAGGACGAGGTCTGTCGTGGAACAGAACATGTTCCCAGCCATGTTTCCGCCACCAGTAGCGCCAACTGCAGAAGTGGCTGGGGTACCATCGTGCAGAGCCTTGCCGAATTCGTAAGTGCTGAGACCAGGCTTGTTTACTGACATATCTCCCAACGGACGCGCGACAAGTTGGTCATGAGGAACGCGTTTGACATTTTTTATGTACGGATCAGAGTAGGAATGGAAGCATCTTTAAATAATCAATTGAAAAGGTGATGACGGCACAGAGCCTACTGAGCTCTTGGATATTGCCTCGTCGGCGTCAGTGTTTACCGGTGTCGGTGCAACGTCTGTCCTGTCACTCTCCCCTTCCGCCTCCTTCGCGTCATTATCGTCACCACCACCATCATCATCGTCTTCAGCTCCGAAAAGTTTGGTAGTTCTGGAGGGTTTCTTTTTGGGGCTCGTGCCCTCTTGACTTTCAGCGACACTGGAAGCGCAGCCGAGAGTTGCACCATAGGCCACCGTGGAAAGGTTGGTTTCAAAGGTAAGAGTACGCTGAAGAGGGCAGACAAGCAGAATGAGAGTTATATAACAGAATAGGTTTATTATAGCGCCTTTTGGGCACTGTCAGTCTCCCTTGAACACAGGAAAAAAACCTAAAACAAACTCATCCTGCGTTGCATTATGATTTTCAGGTCCTTCCGAGCAATCCAACAAAAGTCGACGACCGGCCTTTCAAGTACAAGCCATTCGGGAGGGGGGAAGAGAGCTCGAATATTGCGTTCCATGGGTTTGCGATTTCTCCGGATGCAGGCGGAGCGGTAGTTACTATTGTCCAACCAGGCGACAGCCTGTGAAGCTCCGTACATGTCTTAGTATTCAATCAAATGGTTCGAGACAAACCACTGCACGAAACCCATTTTTGCCTTGTCTTTTGGTAGAAGGTCCGGAAGACGATATCCCACCATGATTACCGACGCATGCTCCACTATAACGCATTCTGGCGTGCCATTAAGTAGACCTCTTAGCTCCTGTAGCAGACAGGTGCTAAGAGCCGCGAATATGCTGGATAACTCGGCATCCAATTCATTTATTGCTCTAATGGTATAGTGGACGCCAAATATTGGCTTCATCAGGCATTGGGCCCTGGCTGAGTTATCTTCGATCTCCGCAGCAGCAAGGAACGAGGACTGTTTGTCTTTATCATGGGGGTTTGTACTATTAGCTTCTTGTGCAGCGTAAGTATTTATAGCAAGAACAGAATTCATCCTGTCGATATCGCCGGCGGTAAGCACGTGGGACGTCGCTCTTCCGACGCCTGATGTCTTCTCGTCCAGCTGTCAACTGTCTCCAACTCCTCCAGTTCTTCCGTACAGAATATATTATTCTCCACACTGGCGTCCATCTTTTTTTCCATTCGGGACTAGGCCTGAAGTTCGTGGTAGCCAGGGTCTCATTCGCAGCCCGGCATATCTGCAATAAGCTTAATTGTTCAGAATGGTAATCGACAGTTTTAGATTCCCTTTGACCTGGTCCAACAGCTAAATATTTCTTGTTATTCCTACAATCATTCTTTCCAAAGACAGTGTCCGCTCCTGGACCTCTGATCCTGTCTGCATGTTGATACTGACATGCCAGCTAAACAACCGTTGGGGAAAGCAGTGCTGGGGGCAACTGCAGGGGAGGGTCGAGGTAGGTGCCGACGTTAAGAGAGAGAGAGAGAGAGAACGAGCGATGCGAGCCTAACGGTAATTTGCGGAAGGGGGGTCGGCGGTGGAGTAAGGAAAGAACACCGGCCATTTTCACCAACACGCAGCTACACCATCACTATCCCAGATCCGCACGTCAGGGGCGTCACTTCATTCAAGCATATCTGTACAGTTCGAGAGGAGTTACACTGTCAAGGCAACCAGGCCACTCTATTCTACCTACTGCTAGGGTAAACGTGAATAAATGACAGGTCGACTAAAGAACCAGCAAATGTGAATCGTATGGGTTACTTGAAACTTGCTTGAAGAAATCGTCAGCCAAATGGGACATTGGAGTTAGGTAAGTGACTATCGAGATCAGGCCAAATTCCTAACGTGGCATCAGACAATGTTCGTTGTCCCGATTTTAATATTCCATTTGTACTGAATGTTGTTTTCCTGTCAGTGGTGTCGTAAAGTAATGTGTTCTCACCCTAGCCCTAACGGTGTGGTGCTGTTCCCTCTAGACGTCACATCAATTTTTACAAACGTCCCGGTCACCGAGACAACTGAATACATGCGTGAATTTCTATCAAGCAATCAGCGGGAAGTAGGAAATCCGCCGAGCGCACTCAAGAGATAGTTACTAAGGTGCACATTAAATGTACAGTACGTTTTTGACAACCAACTCTATAGACAAGTAGATGTCGTTGCCATGGGTCTGCCTCTTGACCTCTCTTAGTCGAGGTCTTCATGAGCAAGCCGAAGAAATCCCAACCAAACGATCAGATCAATAAGCTTAAACATTGCAGTCGTTATTGTCATGACATCCTTGCAATTGCCACCCAAGAAACCAGCGTAGATGTCATCTTAAATGTCGTAAACTAGGCTCACCCGTCAATCAAGTTCATGTTGGAGATGGAAACGGCTAGTGCACTCCCTTTCTTAGACGTCTTTCTAAAGAGGAGACCTGACGGCAGCGTTTGAAGGAGCGTCTATCGGAAGAAAGCCTGGCCTTGAAAATACTCGAACTTCGTCATTTTCGCACCCTGTAACAAAAACAAATTCCAGTTCAGTGTTCGGCGCAAAGAGCTAGAAAAATTTGTTCAACAGATGACATTGAGGAGGAGCTTAGAAAGGTCCAGGCTTCCTTCGCGAAAACGGGTATCCTGACCGATTTATGGCAAGGAATATTTCCGCACGACCGGCAAAGCCCACGATACTGACTGCAAAAAAAATTTGTTCCTCAAAATCCCTTTTCAAGGGAAGGATGAGGGTAAACTCTTAAGGGGATGCCTTGATCAAGCTGTCTTGCGAACCTTCCTAGCAGCATGGGCTTGAACATCCTTCTTTACAAACCCTATTTTAAACGGAGAAGGTAAGGATAGACTGTCACCCCAGGCCAACTCAATGTGCATCTGTTCTTTCAGTTGCTCCTGTGGAGCAGTTTTTGTCGGTCGAACGAGTCGGCGTCTATCCAAAAGGATACGACAACACCTCCCCGCATGTTTGGAAAAAGGGGGACTGGGAGCATAAGCAGCGTAATTCTTGCACACACAGTTGACTCAAGACATCGTGTGGACTCCCCGCGAAGCTTTTCGTGTGATTTATAAGGTCCATTTGCGCTATCCTAAGCTAATGGGCCAGTGCCTGTTGGTAACAAGAGAACCAGCGGCAAACAGGTTGCGAAAAACGACCCTATATGCACAGAAGAACCTCGTTCAGGCTCTACGCTTACCGTGGTCAAAGGTTGCCCAGCCACGTGCAGCTCTTCGCGCCCTTACGCTCTCGTCCCGCGTATGTTTTCGAACAAACTTTTATCGATTTTCTGATCACTGACAGGTTTGACTGTACCCCCTTCCCATATAATTGTACTAATCTGAAGAGAGTTTATAGAAAGCTACATATGCTCGCCAACCCGTCTTCTGAATTCCCTAAACTGACAAACTCGAGTCCTTATTAGTCATCGTTATTTGATGTATTTATATGATATAAATACAGACACGCGACTATAGAGCAGGACGTAAAGGTATGCTCTTACTGTGCGGTAAATAAATCCGCACCATTAGTCTGGTGCATCTAGCATCTGAAGACCGCGGAAGTCGTCATCGTCGAGGAAGCGGCTTCTTCTTGTATTTGATGTTTGAGACATACAAAACGCTAACCAAGTCACAAAACAGAATGTCTGTGATTTGCCTAGAATTCTAGTTTCGGTCTAGTTCGCTAGTTAATGTCAGCCGACAGTCTGCTGTTGGACCAGGTATGGAATTATAATCCTTACCGGCCTGAAATTCTATTACATCTTATGCGACCAGATGAGAGGGTAGTAGAGGAAAAATTTCTCCAGTGGATGCAGAGTTTTGGTTTATAGCGGTGTTCAGCAGAAATAGGGCCTTAGGGCATCTTATCGTCTTGGACAATAGGCGTGATTGGAAAATTACGTCACTCGCGACGACCAGTTCTTTCTGATACTATAAAATGTATGCCGATCGAGGAAACCGACCGGTACCATGACAGCAAACAAAAGCGTCGATAAAATTCTGCAGTAACACGTCGCTGTAGCGGGCAAACGGACAAAGCACCATATCAAATAGGTCCCTTAGTGAAAAAGGTTTAGTTGGGACGGAAAGTGGAGAGGTAGCGAAAAACGAAGGTACTCAAGCGGAGAAAATGACACAATAGCAGACAGTTCGGTATAAGCCAACCGCGCACGCATCGGAGTGTAGTGACCGAGCGAGGGACGGATGCGGATCACGTGTTATGAGGGAAAAGAATGATGGTAAATTGAACTCAGATGGTCCAGCCGATTGGAAGATCCGGTCTAAAAGGCCTTATATCGCAGAGCGGACGGGATCGGGATGAACAGGCAGATGGGACATAAGATAAACAGCATAGGTGATAAAAAGATATAAGTTTATTCGAGTATACAAAAATGGAAAACTAGGAAACGAGGCTACGGATAAGCGAAAAATGCAATGGAACGACTTATCGGGAGGAGTCAGAGGTTATTCGTCGGCATGCGGATTCGGAAGTATAGCTCCCGCGATGTAAACTGAGGAAGAATGCCTCTAGCGCGACAGTTCATTAAAACATTCAAGGTCGGGCCTCTGGTCAGATCTCCGGCTGTTACAGGGAGAACCGGAAGTGTCCGTTGACCAATCAGGCCTCGTCCTCCGTAGCATAGCCGGGAATTGGTTCATCCGTTTCTACAAAATGTTTAAAGCAGATCAAAGGAAGTAACTGAGGCAAGGTAATGGATAATAATGAATTTCCATCTGCTCGCTTTAAAATGTTTGGAGTGTGATCGTCTTCCGGTGTTTTTATATTTTGGGTCATCAATATCTGTCCGACGTTATGTCTCGTTGAACTAAACTGAGAGCAAATAATTCCCTAGACCATTTTCGTGGGATTCTGCATGAAAATGCAAATAACTTTCGTTTTCATGAGCCATAGCATTAGTGAAATCGCCATCTTTCATTTCAGCTGACAGAAAATTAAGACCAGAAGCTTAACCGATAAGCCCGTAGGTATCACGGCCGGAGTAATCATTTCGTTCATTATAGGCTGTAAATGTACGCATGTCAAATGAAGTATAAGGCGCAATATTTTTTGTAGATCCGGCGAGTGTGTATATGTCAGGAGAATATGTTCAAACCAGTGCAATTAATTGTGGGAAGATCGACGCCAGTTTACAACTACATAATTTCCAGTGTAAATTGAAGCGTAGTTTACATAGAAACCTTGTATGCTGGAGTCATTAAAATGGAACACAAAATTTGAAACTTGGCATACGAATCTTGAGGCATCCGTTCGGTCTCTTATTTTCCGTGCTAGTTTTCGATATTAAATCAGACAAGGCTCCTTCTAAATCCTTTCACCGATAGCGGAATCACAGTGTACGCAAGAAGAGCATTCTATGGTTCGACTACCCCGATAGTGGAAGATGGCTTCCGCTCATTCAGCCCCGCCTGCCAAAACGCAGATTTAATGGGTGGTAGTAAATTCGAAAATTATATCATAGACGAGGCTGCGATCCACTGCGGCGACTAGGTCTAATACGCATAAAATAGTTTCGAGCATTTGCTCACAACTCAAAGGAATAGATTAAGGTTTATTAGCGGATTGTACAACACAAGGAACTTTGACCCTAAATAATTTTTGTGGCCCTTTTTTGAACTATT